TTCACTGACATTAAATTAGGTTTTTCATGACTGTAATGTATATTGCTAACTATGTAGCGATATATAGATGTATAGAATTACTCTGTGGAATTTGAAAATACTGTTTTGTGCTTCATTGTTTTTGCAGATAGATAGATGCCCTAAAAAGAGAAACACTGGACTTTTTAAATTGCATCTCTCACAGAATTACTGTATGTTGTGGTGCAAAAGTCTTTTATTCAGTGTAGATGTGATTGTATTATAGTTCAACCTGAAAGAAGGACTCAATTGGTTATGCTGGCTTTAAAGTCATACTTCTTTAGTCAATGCCATTATATGATTGTGCCTGTCCAGAGCATCCCCATGAACACCGGAGTACCGCGCTCTACTTTAAAGTCGTAAATCATCTAATTGTTTTCGCACATGAACATCAAACATGTATCATATGTAACTTAAGTACTTTTTTTACATTAAACAGAAAACAAAAAAGCAGATTATTCAACTGTTGGTATAACTGACCTTTCTCTTACACTGTGAATTTGTTTACACATGTGCGTGCACATGCGCACACACACACGGACACACATACATAGATATATATATGGTGAATGAATTGGGAGTTCTCAATTGTTCTCTTGACCCTTCCTTTTTGGCAGAGATCTTTGGAACCTTATTGACATGTGGAGCGAAACAATACACTGAGGAAGTAGAGTTCAGGGTAGCTCTTCCTGGACTGCATACCTCACAGCAAACATGCAGACATCTGGATTGAGGGGAAATCCCATTGGCTTTCATTTTGAAAAGGATAAGAAAAGAGGTGGGGCACAAGGCACAAGGCAAAGCCTAGTGTTATACTGTCTGTTCAGTAAAAATATATTATCAGCCATTCAAAGACACAAACATTATTTATTTATTTATTGATACTTAAGAAAGCATAGAATTTAGTTATTCTAATAGATTCATCAGAACACGGATAGATTAGGATAGATTGAGGAACATAGTAGTTCACATATGAATACTAACAAAATTAAAACTGGTAACGCTTCAGAGTAATTCTGTTTGGTGTATCACCATTGAATTTTCCTCTGTCATAGACATTTAAACTTATGTTTGAAAGCCAGGACTTACATTAAGTATCGTAGTAGTTTTTTTAAATTGGCTTGAGGCTGATGTATATCTTAAATCATTTTGTACACCTACCAAATACACTGTTCCTCTCATGTTATAAGCTGGGGATAACATTTTATTGGAAGCTGTCATCTATAATGCACTATAGATACCTTCATAATGTATTAGAATGGTCAACTGGCATAAGAATTAAGGATGCTTTGTACTGCACTATGAAGGTATCTAGATGCATTGTAGATGAGTTTCATAAAGCAATCATAATGCACAACAAAACATAGTATTAATGTGTTATGCCTTTTTATAAATATTTATAGCCTTGTTTATAATACTTTATAAATGTGTTGTAATGTGTTATGAATGTGTTCATAGATTCCTGTAGACATGGCGTTCATAGAAAATGTTACCACAGTAAGATCTAATGTTAACCCTTTAAAACGGAGATAGACTATTGAACACGCCAACCTCATTGAAATGAATGGCTGAAATTACAAATCACATGTTGATTGCATAATGTAATGGTTGTGTAGCACGACAAGGAAAATATTAGATCTATACTCCAACCACTTCTCCAGTGCAGGCACATGGTGAGCTCAGAGCCTAAAGAAGGGAAGCAGCTTACATGGGATGTCAGGCTGTCGCAGGGAACATAAAATCACACTATCACCACATGTTGTTGGGTCTCAGGGGGAAGGTATATATGTTGCAACCTGGTACAACACAAGGAGAACATGCAAGCAAACAAACAAAATGTAGGTGGAATACAAATGATCTCTGTATGTGACAACAGTGCTGGCCTAAGACCCATTTCATAATAGAGACACTTCTCTGCTTTGTCTCCCCTGTATAAATTAGTACAGTATATATATAGAGAAATACGTGCCAACAGTCACTTTCATTATCAGTAAGGGAAGTTTGTGAGTTTGTACTTTAATGAGCTGCGTGTTTTTGACACAGTAACAGCACACGTGAAACCCAGCACCCATTACACAAGGCCTGGAAACTCCTGACAGAATGCTTCTTAAACTCTTTACGTAACTTCCTATAATCGCACCATTTACTTATGGGAAATATGTTATTTTTTTTTCACTTTTAGCACAAAAAGTTGAGATATAAAGATCTCAGTTTATTTATGAATGGGAACTGGGTTTATCTGTAATAGAAATCAGTGTCGTTATCAGCTTCACCTATTCTAACTTTTTCTGAAGCCAATCATACCTTAAAGAAAGATGTTTTATAATTTTAGTTTTAGTAGTTTAGTAGTTACCTCTGATGAATTTGTTTACAACACAACATACTCTTTGGTTTCTTTCACTCGACAGATGCCTCCCCTGGAGGTTCATATCATTGATCAAGTGGTTGTTTCCTTTACCTCCAAGATCAGTTGCATGAAACCATGAATAAATACCTATTTTTGGAGAATATTTAGTCGAATCAAACTTTTAGAAACTAGCAGTGACTTTAAACATCTGTTACACTGGTTCATATTGCAGAAAACGTCTTTTTTACTTTCTTCGTTTTACTTTGGGTATCAAATCTGCACCGTATTGTGGAGTGAAAAACAAAGAAATAGCTCATATCTTATAAATAGCTTAGAGCTGTATTTGTTTGCTTTTTGGCATTTTCATTTATAAGTGTGCAGTGATTATATACTGTAGGTATTTGGGATTGACGTTAAATATATGTCTAGGCTTATTTTAGACCTGATTAGTACACGCAGTCCCGCAAATATGTATAGCATATGTTGCGTCTGTTGTGCAGGTGCCTAATGCAGCAAGCATCCAACAAGTAACAAAATTAAGAAATACATTTACAAGTGCTTTAAAGTATACGAGTAACGTAAGTATCATTTGATAGTATGTAAACAGGGCAGTATGGGGATTCAATGGGTAGCTATGTTGATAAACACCATTGGGGTTTGGAATTTGAATTTTCTCATTGTGTAAAGTTTACATTCCCCCCCCCAAAATAAATAAATAAATAAATAAGAATTGCCAAGGTTATTTTTCCTTTAGTCCAAAGGCATGCTGTTAGGTTAAGTGATGTCTCTAAATTGCCCATGATATATGATTGTGTCTGCTTGTGGACATGTGCCCAATATGGATTGGCATGCCCCCCCAGGGTATACGCCCCAGCTTCGTGTCCTGTGCGGACTGGGATAGGCTCCAGGACCCCCATAACCCTGAGCAGAGAAAGTGATTGGAAGATGGATGGATGGATGGATGGGCGGATGGGTGGATGGACGGATGAATGAAACATTCTGAAGTTGTTAGAAGTAGACATTTCCATGCTGCGTGATATAAAAGATATGGCTGTATTAGAGTACATTTATAAATTAAGAGTCACGCACAAATGTAAAATGCTACAATCATAGAATACTTATAAGCATAAAACATGCATGGATTGGTGTCGCATAAACTGTGTGAGATTGTGCACTGTAATGAACCAGCTTCCCAACCAGAGTATGGGCTCTATGCTGATTACATCCCTGTACAGGATTCAGAGACTAACATTAACTTTCACTCCAAACACTGAGACCTCTCATCCAGTGAAAACTGCTTCATTATTAATGAAGATTGTGCATCATTGCATCTGTACAACTGCAAGGAATCCATGTCAATGCAAAGCGTGCATCATTCCTTGATAATTTCACAGTCATTGTGCATGGCCTTGAGAGATAAACATTAAAATTGTCAATATAAGTTTAAAACCTCATTTATGACATTGGTGATGTGCTTAAGGTGTGAAGCTGTGGGAAGTGCAGAAGGTTTACTTATCTGTTTGCATAATGATCTGTCTGCCTTCTGTCTGTGTCTGCTGCTTAAGTATGGGAAGCTGTTTCAAGATGCTATCAGTCATACTTCAACGCTTATATAATTTTTTGGAAAAAGACAAAAAAAAAAAAAAAACAAGCCAACAAATCTCAGTTCAAGTGTAACTGTAAGATCTGTCAAAAGATGGAAAGATACATGGCCTATTCCAAAAGATACAGACAACCTTTTTACACTGGAGTTTTATTTCCCTGGAATGGAATAAGATAGCACTCCTTTCAAGTGACACACCTTTTCCTGTCTGTTCGTCTAGCGCATCCAGGAGAAATTCCCAAAAGGGCCTCAGTTCATCCTCAAACTATACGCATAGAAAGGAAGGAAATGTCTGTCATGGATAATAGTTTGTGATGAGGGAAAATTTGCGATTTCGTCTGTGCGTTTGTTATGACAGTGCAGCCAAAAAGGGAAGTGACTGCACTGTAAAGTTGGGTTGAGGATGTGGGGTGCAGGTTTATTCTCCTCCTTAGAAACTGTATCACAAGTTGCCGTGATATCTATTTTGTTAACCTTATGTATGAACTTTCCTTTAAATCTTACTCCAAAGCAAAAATGACAGTCAGAAAATACTAGAAGTGCCTGTTTAAAACCCACTTTTTCTACTTTGATTATTAAGGAGGGTTCACATCTTTTTTCTTGGAATAAAGAATCTAGTTCCAGTTTGTGGACTTTCGGAGATTCAGCAATTCCTAATGCTGAAATGAATATATGTTTGTGCGGACTCTGTTCTTCCATGGAGTCCTCATTCTTCTAGGAAGGGCCGTTCTTGTATATAACCCACAAAAGGAGGAACTGCAAATGGATGATGAGATAGAAACCCAAAATGAAACCAAAGCACATTTTGAAATTCATTTTCATTAACGGCGTGATCGCCCATTTCAAATGAGGTCTGTTTTATGGTTGTTTAAAAAAAAAAAAAACACTGGCTAAACAATGGAAAACATATTTTTTTCTGAAATATTGATTTTAAATTAGCATAAGATATTGTTTTTTATTGTTATGCTATGTTGCTTGGCTCTCTAGTTTGAGTAAACACACCCCTTTCTTGGGTATGTAAGCAGTTCAGCCTCATTGGAGGGGATGAGGGGGTCATTTAGGAGGGACATTTGTTCATAAGGAACCAGAGGGTTTCCTGTATGAAGGCCAAGAAGGGCAAAAGCTACAAGGAAGGTACAGTTTTTTGTTGGACTAAAAAATAGACTGAAATCCTTTACTGGCAGACTTGCTCCCAAATGAGGGTTTTTCTCTGGTCGTCCTTGGAAATATTCCTTTTGGATTTATTTGTGACACTTTAGGGCTTTTACGGATATATATGGAATCTGAAGTTTTGAACTTCTTATTTTGGTCTGGGCTCCCATGCCTTGTTTTCAATGACCAGTAATAAAACGGCTAAAATTCTGCTTCACAGAAATGGTAAGTCAGGCTTGTTACTGAATTAATATAATATTTCTTTTTTTTTTGTCATAATTGGCTGTTTATTATATTTGGTGTTGCAAAACAGAATTAGTTTTAACATTTCTCGTAAATAATTTTGAGAAAATGCTGTGGATTTAAAACATTACATAGTAATTAGATTACAATTACAATTTAACAACAAAGTGCAATTATGCCAAACATACTTTGTATGTTTTTTAAAGCGTTTCTTTCCTGTTTTTATGAATAAATGTAATGGTTAATTTAATTAGGATTTGCACATTTTCATTAGCCTTCTCATTAGGCTCTACAAACTAACCTTAATGTTATGGTGTCTCTTTCCTGCTAGTTAAATTTTTTTGTACAAAGACACATTTTCAGCTAATGCAACATGAAATTGTTGTTCAGTTCTCGATATATGTATGATAGAGACTACTCTCACTGGTGTTAGATGATAATATCTGCTACTAACATACTCTTCAGAATTTACTGAAAGTATATGCAATCCTTTCTTCGGTTTTATGCAGCAGTTTAACAGCTTTTCTTCTCTTTGGTGTGGCTGGCTTCCGTCACATTGTTCTGATCAATATTGAAGCCATCTCTAGAAATTGGGAGCGTTCAACCAATTTCCCAGTGTTGCCACACATGTTTAACTTGGAAAGAATGTTAATTATATAATAATTTACAGTAGATCAGCAGTACTGTGCATTTTGAACTTCTGGTCATCAATGGTTTACATTGTAACCGTGCCAGATTCCCAATGGGAAGTCGGTGAGAAACAATGGGACCCCATACATCTAGCACAAACAATACCCATTATTCAGGGGGGTGGGGGGTGGGGGGCGATCAGAGGCCTGCTCTCAGACAGACACGTTTCCTCCCCTCTCTGTAGACTTGTGTAGTATTACCAGTATCTGTGATGATTAGATGCTGTTCTTTTTATCCCGTGTTCAACAGTTGGGGTTGTACAATGCAAACCTGGGTAGAGGAAGGGCTGAGAACATTTGGACTGGCTGGATCACTATGTGTGTTGTTCTGTGGAAGTGGCTCCATATGTTTCGACTTGGCAGTGGAGTGAAACTGTTTTGCATGTTTTTGAATCTAATATAAATGTTGCAAGTTATATGAACCAGATTACACTGAAACGTGAACTAGATTGTTGTGGAGGTTTTTCCATATTGTTTCTGTATAGAAGGAAAAAGACGAGGATATAGGAGTCTAAACACAGCCTACCTGTAAATGCATACAGATTTATCGTTAATTATGTTTCCATCTGTTGTCTGTGTTATAAGGGATCCATCAAAAGCCTAGGAAGAGAAATACGATGAACATCAGTGCCAAGTTAAGCGATAATCATAGAATGTAGTAACAAGACGTGCAGAACCATTCAGAAACATTGTCTTGTAAGGATGTATCTTTAGATCAACAAGCGTTCCCACTCCAAGCGACTTTCACGTGAACTATTAGTAGCCCCCCCCCCAACTTTAACTGTGTTGACAGACCATCTGCTCCTCAGCTGTGGAGTTCAAACAGCACCTCCCTCCCTGCCCTTCCCCCAAACACACTGGCACATTTTCATTCAGACAAAACAGTGGTAAAGCATGCAGGCCATGGGGGTAACTCCCCTGGCATGGTCGGGAAATGGGGGGGGGGGGGGGGGGAGAAGCTGATCTTGCTTTCTAGGTCAAATATGTTGTATATAGTTTGAAATACTGATGAAAAAACAAATACAGTGAAGAGGCACTCAGGTCAAAATAGTCATATCATGCAATAATAATGCAGATTATTATTATTATTATTATTATTATTATTATTATTTAGAAAGAGGAGGGGAGGAGTTTTGAGTCTGAGAACAGAGAAAACAAATGTTAAAATTATGTCAACAGTTTTTCTAAAACAGTTTAAAACATGGATTCACATCAGGCTTTTTTTGAATGGGAAGCTGAATTATATTTAAATATAAATGACATAGTATTGGAGAAATAGTACTCAAATCATGAAATATTTAGTTTTTTAATAGACCTCCATTACATAGATTTTTCTGATTTCATTTTGGCTCAGTGTATGTTTATTTTTAACAGCATTTTATTACTTTCGACAGTTTGAAACACCCTGACACTGCACAGGTTTTCAAAAACTCATGAAACTAATTTTACTTCCCTTTTCCTAAATTATGTCTGTCACATGTTATTTATTTGTAGCGTTTCATAAAACCATATATCAGTGAACCTGGAACGAAAACTTTTTCTTCCTCTTCACGGTCTCACAGGAAGCTGTAAGGGGGCGTGGTGAGAGGTTACCATGGTCCAGACTGAATCTTTTTCCTGGTTGCACTGCTTTGAACAGTAGACATGGCAAATCTGTTCTTCTATTATCCTTCTTATAATTCTGGTGGACAAAATTGGCCATGGGACGGAAGCACACAACTGCCAGTGCACTGTATTAAATAGGCAGTGTTTCTTTTTTAACTGTATACGAATCATTAAGAGTCTTATTCACACTGGGAATGAAAGTGCTGTGGTTGTTATTGCTTGCCAGATGTCATGTTACTTGACCTTACATTTTCTCTTCTATGTTCTGTATTGCTGCAGAGAGAACATTAATAACACACATTATATGACAACAACAAGCATTATAATCATACAATCATGTAATGTTTGTTATGAATGTATATTACAGATGTTAAGGTGTGTCAGGATGTTAAGGTATTATTCTTACATGCTGCTTTTGAATGTTCTAGGAATGCATTGTGAGGGTACAGTTATGTCTTACCAGCATTATTTTAACATTTTTATTTATTTATTTAATACAGTACTCACATGCCTTAGTATTTGTGTAGTTTATTATAACATTAAAGAACAAAACAGTTGTTTCTATGTGTGTGCCAAAATAGACCAAACAAAAATTGTACTTGTCCATAGATTGTTTGGATATTTAATATATGCTCAATAAATCCCCTGCTAAACCATACTCGATTTCTAAGGAAAGGTGATATCTATGCAGTGCATATATTGCATTAAGGGCATTAGTCAGGCTTGGCCATATGGGGAAAAAGGTGCCTTTCATGCAGACATTTTGTGCTAAATTGATTATTTAAGCTTAAAACAGAGAATGATTTTACTCATGAATCAATAGAATTGAAGTTGTCACATAAACAAGCAAAGAAGAACTAGTCTTCCAGAAGTTACTTTCACTAAAGGGTGATTATGTGACTAAACCAGAGTAAGCAACTAGTGAATTAGATGTAGGTTTGTCCTCTGCACAGCATTTTTAGTCTGGATTTACCATTTATTTTTCATATTTAACATGTACCATTGACGTTGTTGTATTTTTGTTTTTTCCCTACTTCTCACAAGATTCAGAAAGTATTAAAACGCACGAAGTCATACACAAGTGGCCTTAATTATTGTTCCATCCTTCCCAGGATTTTCTGGGTTGTAGAACGACACAGTGGTGGCGTGGAGTCTGACTTTAATAGGCAGGGGAGGCGTGGGAACACATGGCTTTTTCAGGAGAGCTTGGCCTTTATGGTGCTCTGAGACTACGGGGGTTGTGGAATGTTACTGGGGAGCAACATGTCGAGTCCCAAGAAGAAAAATGAGAAGCGTATTCAGTCCGGCCATAATGGTTCACCAACTACAAAGTTTTTTTTTTTTCTTTTTCCTTTTAAAGTTTAGAATTTTTTAATAATTCGATCAGCTTTCTTCAGAAAGAAAAAGAATTTGAAAACAATAATTAAAATTAATTTATTAAAAATGATTTAGCAGACAATTTGTCCAAAGTGATGAGCAAGTGAGGCAAATAATTTTTTTATTTTTTTCTTTCTTTGAGCTTTATTGAACAGTTTGAAAGGATAATAAAAATCACTAAGATATGGATTTATGCGAAATAAGTCGTTTGCTCTGTCTTTAGTTGTTTCAATGTCCCTGTGTCTGTATGGTACTCTTATTGTTTTCTTGTTTATAATGGCAGACGTGCAGTTTTCTTCTGTCACAATGATGAATTAGTCTCTGATTTTTCTGAAATTGTGTGAGTAATTATTAGTCAATCAAAACTCTGGTCTGTGTTTCATAGCAATGTGCTAGACTGCATAATTTCCCAGAATTTAGTGACATCTGACAAATGTTGCAAAATTTTGCAGTTGTGGTTGGAAGTTCAACCTCGGAAGAAAATATGTTTCATTTAATCCGTTAGTTAAAAGTAATGGACTCCCTGATTTGTGTACCACACAGATTATTCAGATAAAGACCTCTCATATGCTAGTGAGACACCAGTATGCACCGGTATGGGCGTTTCAAGTCCTCCCTTGTGACTTGAATTTCCTGGTTAGGCTCCTGGCTCACCGCCCACCCCCGACTGGATAAGTGATTACGCAGGGAGGGGCAATGTCTGATGTCACGATTCAGTTTTTTCTTGGAATGTTGTGGCTTATATCACTCGTGTTGCTCATATGGTCCCATAATTGTGAAATAGGTAATGTATCAAACACACGATAAGCAGGATGTGAAATGTTTTTGTATCTGCAAATTCAACTTACCATAAGCCTGGATCCTTTGACACCTCTGAAAGCCACGGACTTCTACTTCATCTCATTTGCAACCTGAATACCAGCTTCAAGCCCAAAAAGTCACTCTGTAGTTGATCAATTAATAATAGCACATCTCAATAATAGTAAGATTTGTGCTACAACACCCGTATTCATGTCATACAATTTGTTTTGTTTTCTGCAATTTTTTTCAGAATTGATAAAACAGAATTGGTTTAGAAAGACAAACAAATTCTGTGGTTAATATTGATATAATATATACAGATGCTCCTCTACTTACAAACTTTAAACTTACGAACTTTCAGACATATGAACGAAGAGGACTGTAAGTCCAGATTGTGTTCGTTGGGCTCCCGTTTCCTGTCCGCAACATCAATCAATCCTAGTTCTTTGTACTTGCGTGTACCCTTAAAATGGTGTTGAATAACGACTTACGAACATTTCAATTTACGAACGACCATTTGGAACGTATTTCATTTGTAAGTAGAGGAGCGTCTGTATATTCTTTCTTCAGTTTGTTATATAACAGTATTGAAATTGAATGTCACAGACATCAACAACCCAACTCGGAAGAAGTTGGGACGGTACGGAAAATGCAAATAAAAAAAAAAGCAGTGATAGCTTAATTCGTTTTGACTTGCAATCCATCACAAACAGTTTACTCTGTTTCAACTTCATTTTTTTGTAAACGTACATCCATTCTTGCCATCGACGTCTATATTACATTCCAAAAAACGCTGAGATGGGGCAATTTCAGGCCAATAATCAGTTAAAAAAAGAAAATGATGTAATTTGAAACAGCTGATGTTCAACAGTGCTTTAGGAGCAAAGATGGGCTGAGGATCAGCAACTTTCCTAGAAATGTATGAGAACCGAGGATAATATAATTTAAAGATTGAAGGAATTTGGAGAAGTTTCAATGTACGAGCACAAACCTACGCTTGCCTGCGATCTGCAATCCCTCAGATAGCACTGCATCAAGAACCGTAGTTTATTAAGTGACATATCTACATGAGCTCAGGAGTACTTTGGCAAACCTTTATCATACAATATGTAATTGAAGTCGAATCATATAGGTGCACTGGGCAAAAATGGAGGCCGTTTGTTAACAGTGTCCAGAAGCACCGTTGACTTCTATGGGCATCTGGAATGAACCATCACACAGTGGAAATGCATATTGTGGTCAGATGAGTCAACAGGACTGGTCTTTTTTGGAAGAAATGCATGTCATGTCAAAGAAGAAAATAACCATCCATACTGTTACCAGCAAGTTCACAAGCCAGCACCTGTTACACTATCGGGTCGTGTCTGTGTCTTGGGTAACTGGCACTTCTGTGAAGGTACCATTATTGGCAAAAATTGCAGTCAGATTTTGGAGCAACAATGCTGCCTTCAAGACAACATGTCTTCCATGGACACCCATGCATGTTTCAGCAAGACAAAGGCATGATTGTGACGGAAGACTGTGTAGATGAAGGACTGGCCTGCCTGCAGTCCTGACCTGTCCCCGAGAGAGAATGTGTGGCACATTTTGAAAAGAATGGGATAAAATTACACATGAAACACTACACCAATAAGTTGGTGTCTTCAGGACCTAAACGTTAATTAAGTGTTGTGAGAAGGAAAGGTTGTGTTACAAAGTGGTAAATTATTTACTGTGCAATTTTTCTTGGAATTTATTGCATGTGTTGCAAAAAACTAATAAAATTTATTTGTTGAAGCACCAAAATAATGTGCTATTACATTGTTTCCAGGTCAAACATCATTTACTTTCATTTGCTGACCACTGATTTTTGCTTTCATTTGAATTCAACGTGCCATCCCAACTTTGTAAAATGTTTTTAATATAATTATACAAATTTGTTGCCATGATTAGTAAAACTATAATGAAAACCTGCAGGGCATTTAATGGCCCTGTTAACATTTTATTTTTATTATTAGTAGTATAATAATTTTACATTTTCTGTTTTCCTGGCTCAGAACTTGAAGCAGCGGAGGCATGCAGCTGGCTACGGGCGGCTGGTTTTCCGCAATATGCACAGCTGTATGAAGGTAGCTGTTATACTGACTGTAAAATATGACAGAATATAGAGATGCTTCCTTTTTAGTGCAAGGATCCCTCATGAACTTCCTGAAACAATGTCGAACAGCCTGCTTGCTTCACAGGAAGTACTAAGTAAAGCCAAACATTAAAGTTTAACATTAAATTTGATAGCATTTGATAGTGAGGTACAAGAAATGTTATTGGTAGATAAAATATTTTAAACAATGTCAATGCATAACATATCCTCCTGGATAATTTTACTTCTAAAACAGAATAACTTAAATGTTTGCTTTGCTGCTCAGACCCTTGTACACATACACCAGTTAGGCCTAAATATTGCAGGTTGTTTTAGTTCACATGAAATTTGTTTTTCAGATGGCCAATTTCCCATTGACATCACAGCTGTTAAAAACGATCATGATTTTTTGGATGAAGACTCATTGAAATCATTATGCAGGTAAAGAAATAAAAATCATTATATAGTTTTTACTTTATTTCTGTTATATGATACAACTAAGTGTTGTATCAACTTGGTTACATAGTAGTAATGCTTCCAGGGTGAAAATCACGAGCTTCACAGATAGAATTACAAACAGAGACTGTCCATAGATCTTCTAACCACTTATCCTGGTCAGGTCTGTGGGGCAAATACAGACTAGCTAGCTTTCAATTTAAAGTGTAACAAAGAAGTAATGCATTTATACATAATTCAGTTCAATTCAATTTATTTTTATATAGCGCCTTTCACAACCATCACCCCAAGGCGCTTTACATGGGTGTAATACATCATTACATCATTTGTACTCAGTAATTTGAAAACAGGGAAAAGGGAAGACAGAGAAAAAAACAAGAAGAAAGAAAGTCAGGTGACAATGGAGGAGAGGAACCAAAAACTCCCACGTGGGGAGAAAAAAAAATCCTCTGGAGGTCAAAGGTCAAAAAGAAAGAGTGGACTTGCTTGCTAAAAGCAAGGTGTGAACTGTGATCAAGGTCAAAGCCAAAGTCCATCAACGAGTCAGTTGTCTGTGCTGACCTCTAGGTGGGGGCAGATTGAAAGCTGCACCCCCGATTTCACTAGTTCGTAAGTCACATACATGATGTCATACAGTACTTCAGTGGCACTTAAACAGGACTCTAGCTCTGGATGTGGTAAGGAAAGACAGAATGTGGGTGGTCAGAACATGTATGGACACATCAGTGCACAAGCACAGTAATGTAAAATAATGTTTCTGGTGTTTGGAATGAATTTCCTAAAATTGTAATGGAGGCATAGTATTCAAAATAATTCAAGTATGCACTAGAGAAAAGCAAGCCGAGTTATTAGTCACTTCTCATTTGTAAATGTTTTTATGTTCTTGTGTTGAACTGCTCCATAGACAGTGTGAATACAAATTGCAATTTAGATTCAAGTGTTTAATATGTAACACATTTTATAGATGAATGACATGAAAATTCCTTTTTTGCGTCACAGCCTTATTTAAATAGCATATAGACCATGACACAAGTGAGAAAGCCTTGTTAACGCTGTCTATAGTTAGAATGTCCTTCCTAGAAACTTCAGCTGCAATTATTTAGAATCCGGTGTGAATATGCTTGTTTTTAAAGATGTTTTCACAGCTATATTTATGAAATACAATATGTTATATTTAAATATTCTATATTTATATTTTGACACAGGCAAACTTGGATTAGTTATCTGATGCATCAGCTTTAGTTCTTACTGTCCTGTCTGTGTCCCATGTGCAGGAGACTGAAAGCTCTGAACAAATGTGCCTCTTTGAGGCTCGAAGTGCATTTCCAGCACAAGCAGGTGGGTGGAACAGAGAAGCTATTTCAACAAGCCCACTTAATTGCCTGTCATGCCATTCCATTTTATCTTAGGATATTACAGCACATTTTGGCCTCATTTCATTGAAGCTTATTGGCATTGTTGATATTTTGCTGATATGAAGAACTACAGTTTGGGAAAGTGCTTCCTCTGAAAAACACAATTTTGTATTAAATTGATATATCCATGAAGGAATCAGAACAAATACGAATCATTTCATGATCAAGTTCACATCATTATCATCACAGCCAGAGCTCGTCCGCCCTAGTGTTGACATAGGCGATCGCCTAGGATGCTATTTAATTAGGGGGAGCAAAATAGCAAAAATGCTGGTTGTATTCCGTGACAAAATAGTTAATCTTGAGCTAGATGGTTAGCAGCTCAGCAGAATCTCCCCCTAGGCTGATCACAGCAAGATACCTGGTGCATAATAAAATGAAGTGTTGTGCCTTTGGGCCCACAATGTGACGTGCAGATAGGACACAGAACACGTGTAACAGATAACATAAGGTGCCGCAATGGGCAACACAATTTACACCATACAGACGTGGGACAATGAAACTGACTAACATATTGTTTGAGGTTTCATGCCTATATATGCGTGGCCTGGTGGCCAGTCTTCACTGATTGCACATTCCATCAGTAAGAGCAGAGTGTGAAGGTTGAATTAGCAGAGCAATAGCAGAGCTGCACATAAAATTATGCAATAACATAAGCGGAGACATGTCCAAAGAGGACAGATTTTTAGTGCGTGTCTTGCTGGCTCATGGGTTTTTTACTTAGACAAAAATGTTCTGAGGGCAGAACGAAAAATGATTGGTTCAGAGAGAGAACGAATCAGATTGCGGATGAGGTGGGTCCAAGCTACTGGAGGAGGCGGGACTAAGACATCTAATTGGGGTGTTTTGAAGGAGCGAGTCAGGAAACGTTTTCCTCCACCAGCATCACTTAGTGACCTGGCCACTATTCTGCAAGAGGAGTGACTCAAAATCCCTCTGGTCACATGCAGGACTTGAATCTGTCATTCCAGTGTCGTTATAATGTCTGTCATTCAAACTGATGCTGTATTGGCTGTAAAAGGAGGCCCTGCATCATTCTAATAAATTATTGTAGTCTAATACCGGCTGATTCAGTCTCATTGTCTCACCCCTGTATAGTGCAAAAAATATGTACAGTACAGAAAACAGATACAGTGCACTACAGTTAACATATACATCATTGTAGGACCGATGAGTTTATAAGAGTATTTTAATGCTGTTTGTTTTAGTAAATGCTGAACTGATACTGAAGTAAATTTTTCAAAGCTCCTCACAATTGGCACAACAGTAGTCAACATGGATTAAACTATGGATCATTATCAGTGTGGGTATATGAAATGCAGTTTAATGAAATGCATTAAACTGTGATAGGATTTTGAAGGTGAGATTGACTGATTAACTGTTCAGCTAAGCTGTATGTTGGTAATGCAAACTGAGTTTTGAAAAAAGTGACTTAAGTATGGAGAAATGTTTGTTAATGATTGTAAAAAAAAGTGTGATTTGAGGCTTTGAGGATAATTCCAGTAATAAAATAATAATATAAATTAAGTTTGAACAATTTTCTGTTGTTTTTCCTTCTTTTTTTTAGAGCGAGGACTCGGAGGATGATGACCTCTGTGCAATAAGTGACCGGTGGGCATTTCAGCGGGACAGTAAAAGATGGTCTAGGTTAAATACTCTCACGCCACCAATGACCCCAAAAATGGGTGTTTCCTCAGCAACTGAGAGGACCTCAGCAAGCTCTGAGAGTATCCTGAGTGACTTTAGTGACCTTGACACCACCTCAATCCAGAGCAGCAGTAGTCTGAGTAGCAGTACCAGAGGAACATCTTCCAGTTTGGTGACCATGACCAAACGACTGACCTCCTCAGACTCCCCTAACAGGTCAACCCATAGCAATCAAGCAGACGGTTCTTCAAAAGGCCAGTTGTATGTCGAAGAGAAGGCGAAGAGGTGTTCCAGAAACATTTTGAAGAGATTAGACTCATTCCGGAAGAAGAATAAAGAAAGGGAGAAAATGATTGTGAAGGAGAAAGATGTGAAACAAGAGGTTCCGCAAGCTGATGTTAGTTTGCATTGTACACAGACTTTGCCTGGTTTGAAACCAACCTTTCGTGAGAAAAGCAGCTTAGCGGACTACAGAAAGGCTTATACAATTTGTAGGACTACTGCAAGACGATCCTTTACAGATGAGAGAATTAAACCAAAATATAAGGGATTCTATTTGGAGGATTACGAGATGTACCTAAAGGTAGCAAATTGGACAAAGCATTCAAGCAAACTTGGGAATAGACGAGAGAGTTGTTTGGTTCATCTTCCAACTGGCCACAAGCCAGGCACCTTTCCCAAGTCACTTTCTATTGAAAGCTTGTGTCCTGAACGCCATAATGACTCAAATAGGTGGCAAATGGACAACACCGATATCTCTATGGCTAGCACTAGTGAATCCCAGGACTTTGCAGGGTTTCAACTGAGGAGAAATTCCTGTACTTCTGTAGGGAGTGTATATGATAATGTGCCGGAGGCAACCAAGAGCACTGAAGACCTTAACTTGGAAGGAGACCAGGTTTTCCAACACCTGGATGATATCCTTGAGCATGTTCATGGCCTTCAGCATAGCATAGACGTGTGGTCGAGGAGAATCTGTCTAGACCTGGAAGACAGCGAGCTGGATGGAAAATCTGAGGAGCAGGTTGAAACCGCATATCCTTCAAGCCTGCATTTTGAAGAGCAGTCTATGTCGGACATTGGCACAGCAGCAAGTGACTATGGCAGTACCGGAAATTCGCTGAATGAAACAGAGGATATTGACATGAGAGAACGACGAGATTCTGGAGTGGGTGCCTCTTTAACCAGACCCAGCAGGTCAGATGCTTTTAGTTAAATTACCTGCATCATTGTCCTTGCACATCTCTTTGCACATCTCTGCTATTATTGTATATCACCAACCAGCAGGAATACAAATCACCTAAATCATCTCTTGCCAGATTGCTGATTTTCGTTTTGGTTTCCAGGAAACTGAGGTGGCACAGTTTTCAAAACTCGCATAGACCCAGCCTGAACTCAGCCTCACTGGAAATAAATCGGCAGTCAGCTGCACAGCTCAATCTTCTGCAGAAATTCTCCTTGCTGAGACTGACAGCGATTATGGAGAAATACTGTGCGGGTAGTAAACTTGCCTGGAGCTGGTAAGTTTTCCGCCGCAAAAGGCTGAATCATTCAGGCACTGTAGACATTTTGTAGCTACATTTTCATAGAAGGAACATCACGGATTGTAAGATTTATGATTTTACTGTAACATTCTAGAAAATATCCGGTTTTAAATGTACTGCAACTTCTTTAAGTTAAAGTAGATATATAAGTATGTTGTAGCCTTCTCTGTTTTTCTGTGTGGAGTTTACATGTTCTTCCCATGTTGTGTGGCTGCCCTTTGTGAATTTTGGTTGCTGTAGCCCATTTGCAATTAGGTGAATTGCCAACAGTGTGTGCTATTGTGTGTGAACCTATGAAGGACTGGCATCCCATCCAAGGTGCCCCCTGCCTCATGGTCCCTGGGTCCTGGTTAGGCTGTAGTAGCCCTGTAACCCTGTCCCCTGAACTGTGGCAGTGTGTGGCTCACCACTTTAGGACTATTACCTGTAATTGGAAGGTGACCGGTTTGAATTCAATGACAGTCAGACTGATGCCACTGTTGGAACCTTGAGCAAGGCCATTAACCCCCACTGCTCCCAGTGGTAGTAGACATTGGCCAACTCAAGTTTGCTTACATCTGTATATGTATCTGTGTGTGTCATGGAGAGCAACATAGGATAGGCGAAAAGACAATTTAGACTAAAGTATTACTGTTCCATTCTCTACTAAGTTATGGAAGATATGGATATATAGTGGGACATGTTATGAATTCATTCATTCAGCTAATGTCGGGTGTGTTTCCCAATGCATAGTTGGAACATGATACTGAACAATTCCAACTATTAAGGTTGCTAACGGGAGCTCTTGGGAGCATTCTCAAGTATATTCATCCCCGTGGGAGTATTGTCAAGTATCCTCATCCTCTTGGGAGTATTGTCAAGTATCCTCATACTTGGTTACATTACTGTGTCTTTGGTCCCTTACATGCTAAACCCATTTTGCGAAATAAAGCTCTTGCAAGTCTATAGACAAGCATGAGCATGATCTAATCTCCTTTTCTTGATTACACAGGACTATTCCAAAGTTTATGAGGAGGAGCAAGATTCCAGACTACAGGGACAGGAACGTCTTTGGGGTTCCACCCATCCTGAATGTCCAGCGGAGTGGCCAGCCACTGCCTCAGAGCATTCAGCAAGCGATGCGCTACTTGCGTAGCCGATGCTTGGACCAGGTAAAATCCAGTTGTCCAATCAGACATGGTTTGTCACAGATTTGACCGTATGTACGTATTTTAAATGTATTTTCCCCCTTTTAAATGCTACGATTAGATTGGCATTTTCCGCAAGTCTGGTGTGAAGACCCGGATCCATTCTCTGAGACAGCTGAATGAAAGTTCCCCAGATCATGTGAGCTACGAAGGCCAGTCAGCCTATGATGTGGCAGATTTGTTGAAGCAGTACTTCAGGGACCTACCAGAACCTGTCTTTACCAGCAAGCTAACAGAAGCATTCTTACAAATTTACCAGTGTGAGTTTTGCATCATTAATTTTTCTGTATATATTTTTTTATTTTGTGTTTCGTTTTTAATTTTATAGAATATTTTCTTCTTATTTTAATGCCAAGTAACTTTTATTAAAGTTAACAGTTATCAATAAGAAAATGTTCTTTGCTTCATTTAATTTCTCCCAGTATTTAATTTCAATGTGTGAAATAGAAACTGACTTCTCTCCCACCTGCATCTCATTCCAAGATGTCCCTAAGGACCAGTGTTTGCAAGCGGCTCAGGCCGCGGTCATCCTGTTGCCAGATGAGAACCGGGAAGTGCTGCAGACTCTGTTGTACTTCCTTAGTGACATTGCCTCTGCTCAAGGCAACCAGATGACGGCCGGCAACTTGGCCGTGTGCCTGGCCCCCTCCGTCTTTCACCTCAACATCTCGAAGAGAGAAGGCAATTCGCCCAGGTATAAAAAGATACCTTTTTCATACTGTCTGACATATAATCAGACAAAACTTTTCCTGTTTTAGGTCAGTTAGGATTACCAAAATCATTTCTATTTACGAAATGTCAGAATAATAAGAGAGAAAATTTTTGGAGAATTTTTTATAACTTTCTTCAAAGTCAAAAGTTTACATACACTATGGTTACTGTGCCTTTCAAACAATTTGGTTAAGCCCAGGTAATGAAGTCATGGCTTCTGATTGGTTAATTGACACCACTTGAGTTAATTGTATGTATTTTAAGGCACCCCTCAAACGCACTGCTTCCTTGTGTGCCATCATGGGCAAATCAAAAGAAATAAGCTAAGATATCATATAATTGTCTGATTATATGTCGGGTTATATGTCAGACAGTAAGAAAAAAAGGTTATGTGTCTTTTTATAAAGTGTATGTAAACTTCTGGTTTCAACTGTATGTTGGTGTGTTGGATGGTTGCTGCAAAATACTGAGATGACTTTAAAAGAGTTTTGGAAATGGTTACACTGACACAATTGAGCAGATGTAATATCATAGTTTTACACCGACATGAAAACCATTTAAACATCATTGTCTTTGATTGCCCAACACTGTATAGTACACTGTAGTTTATCTACAGCAATGTCTATCACTCATGACCCGGTTACTCAAGATAATCCGCAGACTTTGTAGTGAGCAGTTTAATGTAGGGACTATTTTCTTCCACTGAACTCCACACACCAGTCGTATCACTACGCAGAAGATACGAGCACGAGTTCCCCGGCGAAATATTCTGCACAGTGATATGATTGGTGTGTGGAGTTCGGTGTAAACACCACAGAAAGAGCACCATTCAGTCCCATTATATTCGAGAGAAGAGTGGCATTTCTATGGCCAATGTCTTCAAAACTAGGCAACTCCCAGCAGAATAACTTTGGGGTGAACTGCCCCTTTAAAAACTCCTCTATGTCTATGAAAATGATACATAAGATCAGTAGTGGAGGGGGGGCGGGGGGCGGAGGGGCGTTCACCCCTGGGCCGATTGTGGGGACCCCCCTGCCAGCAAATTTTACCTAGTGTACCTTTTGATCACAGATGATCACACAGAATTTGCAACAATTTACCAAGAAGTAATTTGCTTCAAGAGTCAGCAAATTTTACTGACCCCCCACCACCCCTAGCCCCCCCTGCTGTGAGACCCCTCCTCCTCCCCTGCATGACATTGATTTTTGATTAGTTTTGTTCTGTTACAGGGTGAAGCACAGGAGAGGTGTTGGCGGCAAGCCAGATCAAAGGGATTTAAATGAGAACATGTCTGCTACTGAAGCACTCAGCCATATGATTGTGGAGTGCAAGAAGCTCTTCCAGGTAAATTGGTTTTATAAAACAATTATGAAATGCTGATTGTTTCAAGTAGCTGAAAACAATGCAATATTCATTTTTTTCCCCTACTTAAGAAAAATGTTTCTTAATTCAGGTCCAGGTGACCATTTGTGTCACTTTTATCTCCTTACTTGTAATGTTGAGCTACCTTTGTAATTAATTCATATTCATATATGAGTAGCATGATTTAATTCAAGATGAGCAGCTTAGTGCTGTTGCCTCAAGCCTATCAGGCCCGGTAGGGAGTTGGAAGTGTCTCAGGGTTGGAATGGATGGATGGATATGACACTTTATGTCATTCATTAACTCATTAACGGCAAAGTAATTGAACCATTTCCTTTCCTTGGTCGCGCAGATTCCACAGGATATGATGCTGCAGTCTCAGAACTCTTATGTTGCTGCTGACGCCCAGCCTCTTCCACTCCACGGCACGGGCATCAATCTGAAGGGAGAGCCTGCAGATTACAGGGCCTATCTGGAGGACAGTATTCAGTGCCTGCGGCGGGAGATGACAGAAAAGAGCAAAAAATGGCATATCAAACCTGCCCCTGATAACACTGAACTCTCTTACAGGAAGGTAAAGCATAAATGTGTCATTTCATAATGCATGTCAGAGTTGATCATTTGTATTCATGGGTGCGGTCCCGGGCTGAGACAGGAGTAGTGTGGAAGTAGATTACTGGCAGGGTCAAGAAATGACAGCAAGGCACAAGAGGCAAGCAAAGGGAAAATCCAGGAACGGGCTAAGGGTCAAAAACACCAGAATCTTCAAATAGGGTTGAGGTACAAAATTGTTCTTATGTTCTTATGTTCATAGAGGCTAAGGCAAAGTTAGTAGACAGGTACCATACACAGCAGGCAAATGATCTCAGACAAAGGAGTAAAAGACAATCTGGCAATTGAACGATGTAATGATTTAAATACACTGGGGAAGAGATAATCAACGAGGAACAGGTGTGAGCGCCTGACTCATGAAGTGAACTGATTGGTAGTTGCAGTCAGGTGATCTCTTGGAGTGAGAAACTGGAGACATGCCCAGAACACAGGTACAGTGAACAATGAGCCAGAACACCACTAGGGGGCAGCAGAAACAGGACTAACCCTGACAGTATTATTTACTTGTATACATGAATTTTCTGGCCTAGGCATATACTTAACCTGTAATTGTTATTTGTAATGCTTAGATGGGGAGGGCATGCAAGTACGGAACAAACACGTTTAAATTCTGAACTATAGTCCACAGATAGATTGAAAACCAAGCAGAGGCAAACAAACCTAAATCATGATCCAAACTGGTAGTCCAAAAACAGACTGAAAGCCATAAAGTTGATACGGGGAATACAGTGCAAATAACCAAACCACTAGACAAAGGTCAGTAAAACGAGCAGGTTTCAAACACAAAAACTAGATCACAAAACTCTCATTTAGTATGATAGGTCACTTGATACTTCAGACGGGGATAAATGAGCACCAGGTGGTTTTATACCATGCCAGTTAGTCAAGTTAGTGAGTGACAAGTGTGCTTTATTCAGAAGAGGCGGAGCAACCTGACTGTGCGTGGCTGGATGGATGCCTGGCTTGATGTGGGCGGACATGTTTTTGTCTCTGTTTAAGAAAAGAGATTAAACAATACTAATGGTAATGTGGAATTCACCGGACTTTCGCAGGATTCAACTTAAATTTCTTAAAATGGTGAAATATATCTTTTTTATTAACAAAATTCATTATATTACTTACAATAATAGAACTGAATGTTTAAGAAATTTAAGAATATTTATCTACAGTTCAGTTGGTCTATGAAGTCATAATTTATCATAATTTTCACTGCAGTCAGTTATGCTGGTATTTACTGAATTCATCTGCTGCATGATATATCTTTTTAGAATTTTGAAAATGACTAGTTAAGAAATGTATATTTTTAAATAAATTTCCTTCGGAATGACACTGCATGTTGCAGCAGTGTTTAGTTATGAGAAGTGTAGACCAAATATTTCTTGCAAAGATGGGTAAATTCTGTTAAATCATTAATAAGGCTATTCTGAAATGTGTTTTATTTCTCTAAAATGACCGTCTCTGAAATTCTTGCCTATGCCTCGACTAGTGAAACAGAAATTTGATTGTTCCATTCTCAGACGTACGATTTTTGTCGTCCAGGTTGGGAACGGCCACCCTTTTCGCCTGTGGAAGTCATCCACAGACGTCGAGGCTCCACCCACTACCGTGTTGCACAGAATTTTGCGGGAGCGCCATCTATGGGACGACGACTTATTGCATAGCCGCGTGGTTGAGGCACTTGAGGAGAACACAGAGGTGTTTCAGTACGTGACTGACAGCATGGCACCTCACCCTCGGAGGGACTTCGTTGTTTTGAGGTACTACAGGAGCAATATTCTTTCTTAGGAGTGATATTTTTGGGTGGAAATTTAAGCCATATCCTTATTTTATTTCATTCATCAAGTCAGAACCTGTGTGCTCAATGGAAATTTGGTTATATTTTTTCATAAAATGTAAATTAAGACCTCGGCAGGAAACTTTTACACTAGTCGTGTAATTGTTACGCTCCCTCCACCTCACTCCAGATTGTTAGCCTAATAGAAACATTTTCCAAGTTTAAATTGTATCGAGTAATTAGGTAATACAATGTTTGTAACTTCATGCTTACATTTCATTGTAAATATGTTAGTGTTACTGACAAAAAAGAGCAGAATGCTTTATTTTTGTGTGTTGTAGTATAGGGAACATGGGTGCACTATATGCCCCCTAGAGGGTGAAAAGGGTGCGGTTTATTTAGGAAATAGGGGAAAATACACAAAAGCACTAGTGGTGATAAAGCGGCTGTGATTGGCTGGTCAAAGGAAAGCACATCGTCCCCCAAGCAGACATGGGTCAGTCTCTTCCGGTCGGTTGTCCTCCAAGCCAGTGAGGCAGAGAGAGCTCACTTGGGCTTTCCTGTCTCTCCCCCTGCTAGTGACTGGAGGATTCCCCCTTCCCCTTTACCTATACTCTATATGCAATAGACTAGTACGCCATCCAGTGTTTTTTCCACTTGTCCACAATGTTTTACTTTGTACATTTGTCTGTTAATATTTGAAGAAGAAGAAAAAAAACGTAAGAATATACAAAACATAAGGCGCATTGGAAATTCAAAATTGTCTTTAAATCGTTGACGCCGTCACTTGCCTTGATAACTTCGCAAACATGGAGTATTCGGTTTACCGCAAGTTTCAGCAGGAAATGATCTGATAGAAAGCTGGCCAGAACAAGCCCAGAGTCTTATACTATCCTTCTTTGGCAGATTGTTTTTGCACAGTTTTGAGCTCTCAGAATTCTGCCTGCTGCTGCTATGTCCACAAGGTGCCAGAAGGCTTTATCCAGACTGTATCTGCATATTCCCACAGAAGGTGGCACACAGACCCAGTGCAGGGGTTCTGCCTCTTGGTCTCCTCCTCTGTGGACCACAACAAAGGACCTCTGGAGGTTGGCCTTCGGGCTGTGCTGCTTACCTCTCGCTGGCTAGTTGAGCCGTGTGGAGCAGGACGCTCAAGGCTGACCCACTACTGCAGGGCTGACCTTAGGTGAGTATTTTTCTACTGCATGGCCAGAGAGTGAAGATTCCCATAGAGTGGCACAATGTGATCCAAGAATTTTACTTTTTTTAGTCTTATTAAATACCATAAAACCGACACTGCAATACATTTCAGACGTACATAAATAAAAAAAAATTTTAAAAATTATTATTCTGATATTCCCTGCACACGTATCACAGCAGTGAGGTTTGTGTCTGTTTCTCTATGTTATACAAATTCAGAGAGCCAACTCACAGGGTTCAATTCAAGACGAGTCTGTGCTCAGACACACACACACATTTACATGTATGTAACAGTTTTATTACCTTGTAAATAATCTGTAGGGTTTGCAAACTAGCATCCATGTTGGTGTTTAAAGTGCACACTAGCGAATCGTTCTTGCGCAGTGTATCCAGAACCGTGCATACACCAGTGCACGCAGTGTATCCAGAACCGTGCATACACCACTGCACGCAGTGTATCCAGAACCGTGCATACACCACTGCATGCAGTGTATCCAGAACCGTGCATACACCACTGCACGAACAGAAGTTTGGAGTACAGCAGACGTTTGTTCGCTGAGGTCCACAGTGACGTCAAACATGTCTCTTCTCTAGCAAACCAGACACACTGTTCTCTTATCTGCAGCCCTTGAATGCATTTGTGCGGCACATATTCACTGAACACAGTCACAGTAAACAAGGCCCCAAGCATTTGACAACAATCCCAGCATCCTCAGCTCCTCTACTTCATACTGGTATCAGACTCCTTTAAATCACATCCACGTTGGATATATTTCCTAAAACCTTATTCAGTTATCCATTTTAAGGATAGAAGAGCTGTATCTCTCTTTCATGCCTCTCTTCTTCTTTCCGTAACATCCTTCTGTTCACAGACCATTTCTTACTGTTGTATGTATATTTTGGACCTTAAATACTGATATATTTTTCTATTTTTCATTTTCAGAGGGCGTTCCCCAGAATGGTACAACAAAGTTTTCGGCTATCTTTGTGCTGTAGAGGTTGCCAAGATCCGAGACTCTTTTCCTGTCTTTACAGTTCGCGGACCAGAGACAAAACTGTGATCGAGATTTTTTCACTGTAATTAGGGATCCAAGTAGCGTTAGCTGCTGGATCCCTGTTGTTTTTTTTAAATGCATTTGTATTATGGGCAACATAATTCTACTGAATAGTCTGGAGATCCATCCATGTTCAGTAGCTGCTTGTCCTATTCAGGGTTGCGAGGGTCTAGAGCCTTTCCTGGAGGCTATGGGCACAAGATAGGGAATAACCCAGGATGGGGCACCAACCCATTGCAGGGCACACTCACACACCCTATACTCACACACCCTATACTCACACACCCTATACT